AATGGATAAAGAAGACATGGTTTTTATATAAAATGGAGTACTACTCTGACATAAAGAAGGATAGGATAAGCTTGAGACATTTCTAGGTAAATGGATGCACCTTGAGACCATACTCAAGTAAAATAAATCAGACACACATGTTTAAATACCACATTGTTTTTCTGGTGTGAGAAATTGAAAGTGTAAATAAGGACCAAAATGTGTAAGATATTAAGAAATGAGAAGAACATGTTCAAATTGGAAGGGGAACAAAGACAGGGAGAGGGGAAAAGGAAGAAAGGGACAATAAAAAAGAGAATGGAAGGAAAAAATGAAAACAAAGCTTTTATAAATAATGAGAGGAAGAGAAGTTGGAGGGGAAGGGAATGGGAAAAAAGAAGCAAGAATTATCATGTACAGGTACAAATTTTCTACGATGAATATTATCATTATATATATCTAAATATACCAATAAGAAAATTTTAGGGCCGGGATTTAGCTCAGTGGCACCACACCTGCCTTGCAAATGCAAGGTCCTGAGTTCAATCCCCAGTACCCCCCAAAAAAATTTAAGTAATATTGTGCCCCATACAGCGGCACATACCTATAATTCCAGCTACTCAACAGAATGAGATAGAAGGATCACAAGTTTAAGGCCAGTCTGGGCAACTCAGCAAGACACACAGTTTCAAAATAAAAATAAAAGAGGCTGGGATGCAGCTCAGTGGTACAGCATCTGCCAAGGTGTGAGATCCTAGCTCCAATCCCCAGTACCACAGAAAAGAAGGAAGGGAGGAAGAAAGGGGAAGAGGAAGGAAGAGAGAGAGAGGGAAGGAGGGGAGTGATACTGTAAAATATTTGGTGATACAGAACAATGATGACAATATACTAGTTAGTAGAAAATACAAAGTGTAAATGATGTATGCAGTAAATGTCCACATTTATACTTCGAAATAGAAAAAAGACTACTACTGATTTCCAGATAGACAGTCAGACACACAGACAGACACACAGACAGAGAGAGATAGAGATATATTTTTTATACCTGCAATTGAACTCAGGACCTTGCACTTGCTAGGCAGCACCACTGAGCTAAATCCCTGGCCCTAAAACCCTATATATTAAAAATAGGTGATGAGCTAAGAAATTTCAATATTCTTTATGCTTTTAAAGTTTTTTCTATACCACCTACAATGATTGCATAGCAGATTTATAATTTTAAAAGTTCTGCTTAAGCATAACAATAATGACAAGCCCTGATAGGACAAGATTCTTTGTAATTTCATGGCTTATACTACAGAAAGCAAGTTCAATTCAACTGAAGAAAGCTTTCCTAATCTGTGGAAATCGTTAAACTCTGGATGAGATTTCCTTTGCAAGAGCTCTATACTCTCCTTCCTAGATTCCGTAAGAGCAGAGTAAGATGACTAACTACAGTGGCAATTGTGGTGCCCCCTTGCATGGGGACTGGACAGTGACCACGTGGCCAAGCCTCAGACCAACAGACACTCTACAGCTGAAGGAAACCTTTGCGTGGGCTAAGCTCAAGTGCCTCAGCAGGAAATCTGCCAGCTATCAACTGAACAAGAATTTCCTAAATCCCAGCCAAAAGTTAAAGCTTAAAATGCTGTTTTGCTCTTGGAAAATAAATTTATCAACCCTAAAAATAACTAGAAAAAAGCCCAAAGATGAAAGTGACTCTAAGTTTCAAACAGATGTTAGACTAATTTTTGCAAAGACTGTCAGAGTAAGAATTCTTGGGACTCCTACGTAACAGAAGAGTGATATCTAAGAGAATCTCTAACGATTTAGGATGACTTCCAAGAGGGCAAAAAAAAGTAAAATTTTTTCTGGGTTTCTAAGCATCACCTAGCCAACAACAGGTCCAGTATTTCTCATTAGAAAATGAGTATAAATAGAAATTATTTATCTCACGGGTTAGCAGGTCATAATGAATATACATTAAAATCAAAAAATTGACGTAAACACGGAGTATAGAAATATATTTGTGCTATTCAGCTTTCTGTTACTGTAACAAAATAACTGAAATAATAAAATGATAAAGGACAAGGTTTACTTTGGCTCACAGTTTTGGGGGTTTCTGTCCACATTTTGTTGGTCCCGTTGCTTTTGAACCTGGGGTGAGGCAGCAGCACATCATGGTGGGAATGCGTGGTACAGCAAAGCTGCTCACTTTGTAGTCAGGATACAAAGAGAGTAAAAGCAAGGAGCTTGGTCTCACTGTTCCCTTCAAGAGCTCACCTCCAGCAAGATCTTTCGTGAGGTCCTAAATTTTAAGTTCCACCACCTAACAGCACAGTCCAGGGAACAAGCCTTTTAGCATATGGATGGGTCTTTGGGGGTACATTTATGATCCACACTATAGCAGTATTCCTCCTTTTTAAAACTATAAAGCTCAACTGGAAATGTTCATTCCTACTAAAAGGCATTTGACTTCAGTGTTAACCAATTCAAATCTTTAAATGACTTCAATTTTGTTCGAAAGCATAAAATTTCACTGTGAGAAATTAGAGAGCACTAATTACATGGGGAAGCATATCACACCGGGCAAGGGATGGTTAGTGAAGTTGGATTTTTACGAGCTATGAGACAAGATTCATCATGCCCTCCTTATGAAAATATAAAGGCAAGTCCCTTTTGGTAAATGCATGACCAGGAACAAGAAGCCCATCAGCTTACAAGTCATCATGTGCCAATGTAAACACTACTGTGGTGTCAGGTGAATTCATACACCAAAGTTATCAGAGTGACCTTGAGAGGTCATGTAAGGATGAGGCATATGTGATTCCAAGGTAGGCACCCCTGCTCTCTCCCACCCCAGCACCGACCACCTTCTGCTTCTAGCTCTATACACCTGCCACCCACACTGTGTTTCCCTCCCAGGCGGCATTGATTTGCATTTGTTTAATTAGCCAGGGATAGAAAAGCAGCTACCATTTTGGTGCCAAGCAGATGTTAAACTAATTTTGGAAAAGAACAAGCACCCTGTATAGTCTAGAATGACTCAGCCCCAGTCCCCCACAAACAAATTCGCCTCACTTGGCATGTGCCCACAACTCCACTCTCCAGTCATCAAGATTTGGGATGTGCAGTGCTCTCATCTGACCTCCAGCTGCTCCTCTTTCAGGCGTCCCACTACCATATTCCCTATGGGCCTGGCAGTATGCGCATATGAGGTAGCAAGGCCTGGCCCCTCCCTCTTCTCTGGTTCATTGCCTCCCTTGCTGGTCTCAAGCGCCTCTCTGAAGCCTAAGCTCATATACTCCACCAGTCTGGCTGTGCTCTGTCAGTCGCTAACCAGGGACCGCCAACTCATTTTTTTGTTTCCAATCTAGGCCTCCAAATGGAAATGAAAGACTGACTTCCCTTGAGGCCATTTGGCCCTCAGTGTCTATAGGCAATTGATTTGTTCATCTCTCTCTCACTGGCTTTTTACTAAACTTCCAAAAGCATTTATTCTAAGAATTTCTTGGTTAACTTAAAATTCAAGGGAACTTGGGGTAACCTTAGGCTATGATCACAGGTGAACGACTATTTTCCAATTCAGTCTTATAATAAATTAAAGCTAATAATCTGACCTCATTCTTTCTGATTCCTGACTCCTCTCTTATTTCATAATTGATTCTGAACTGTCCATGTTTGCAACAATGGCTGGGAAAGGAACAATGTCCAAAATTTTTCCCAAATGCCAAATAAATGTATCTGAACCTTTGCTCCTACCTTCTCTGTGTGAAGGGAATGGTCTTCCCTAAGCCAACAGAAAGTAAGAAGAAGAAATTAATAAAGATAAAGGCAGAAATTAATAAAATGGAAATCATTTTTAAAATAGTTTTGAAGATTAATAAAACTAAGTTAGTGTTTTGAAAGAAATAACATGAGAGAACCTCTGGCAAATCTAATCAAGGAAGAAGGAAAAACAAGTATTCAAATTAGAAACAAGAAAGAGGACATAATTGTATATGTGGATTTTTAAACTAGACAAAACAGATAATTTTCTAGGAAAATACAGATTACCAAAATTAACTCAAGAAGAAACAAACAGACCAACAGAAAAAAAGACAAAAGCAAAAAAAGCAATTCACAAAAGGAAAAATACAAAGACTACCAAACATGAAAGGATGCTTAACCATTTAGTAGCCAACAAAGACAGCCAAAGCAGGAAAGTAGTTAAAGACCCATCATATAGACTAACATTTTTAAAGAGATAACAGTGTTATTAAAAATGTAGGAAGGCTGGGGATTTAGCTCAGTGGTTCCACCGCCTGCCTTGCAAGCACAGCAAGGTCCTGAGTTCGACCCCCGGCACCAAAAAAAAAAAAAAAAAAAAAAAAAAATGTAGGAAACAGGCATTTTCATAACAATATGTATGGCTTCTGGGGGAAGCAGTTAGAGTGAGGATTGTAAGGGGGGGGCATTTCATATTTTACTTTATTTCTATATTTGGATTTATACATAAGGATGTGTTTTTCAGTGTTATAACAATTTTTAAATAGAGGTCTAATATCATTGTTACTGTATGTTTACACTGGAGAACAAAACTTGAAATGAGAACATAGACCTAAAATAGTTTATGAATCTTAAATATGGTAGGTAAGAAAAAGAAGAAATAGAAAAACAAACAGCAAAGTATAGACTGGATATAATATGGGAGAAATCCACACATGCAAAACATTAGTTCTGTTAAGGCATAAATATTGTCCTATTCTGCAGACTACCTATAACATAATAATCCCTTAGTAAATACTTGTTGAATAAAAATTCTAAAATAAGAACAAAGTCAATAAATTACAGAAAACATTAAAAAGTGTTATCTGATCACTAAGGGGAATAAATTCAAGGTCTTCCAAAAGTATCTGTGAAAAAACTCAATCTCCTTGTAGACACTGTTCAGCCAAGACTCTTAAGTGATGATACACTAGAGTGTTTCCTATTTTATAGCGACTGAAGACTGAAGGTTCCCAAACATCACGTCTTTATAGAGGTCTATCAAGCACACTCACCAACAGTCCGTGGTCAGGTTGACTTCCACCACAGTCCTTGTCACCAAGTGACTAGAGCACACTACAGACTGTCTGAGGCTGGAGGCAGTGCTGATCACAAACCTGAAATTCACAAATACAAATGTCATAATCCCAAATGCTAACATACTAAAAAAATCAAAATCCCTAAAGTGTAAAATTCCAAAAAAACAATCCCAAAAGATTACAATTTCAAAAATTGAAATCCTAGACACTGCAATTCCAATTCAGGACTGGGGTGGTGGGGGTAGTAGTGGTGGTGGTAGAAAGACAAATTCTGAGGATGGGATTAGTTTGTTTTCAGTTGCATGCAGTGATCCACTGCAGTTTTTGATGGAACGCAACAAAACACAGGTTGCCTTTCAGATGGCTGGAGTTACAAAGCTAGGCTCACAAAATTACCAAACATAGTAATGTGTCTATATTTTGACCTATTTCTTCACAAATATGGTTCATCTATTTGTAAATGTTAGACTCTTACAACTGAGCATGCTTGCACATTTGTATTATTGCCTTTGTTATGTAGTGGCCTATAAATATTGCATAAAGTAGACATGTTTTTATGTGTTTCTCAAATAAATCCCCTTTAAAGAATGTAAATAAATGTCATTTAAGTTATCTTTCCAGTTATTTTTTCAGGATTTTAGAATTTATACATTTGATATTTCAGGATTTCAACACTTGGCACTGTGGTGTTTAAGATTATCTTTCAAGGTTATGGCCCAAACTCTGCTGGAGGACATATAAAGACCCACAGAATAATCCCAAAGGTATACTAGGAATTTCTATTTCAAAAGAAACAAATTAAATAATTTTGTTCACATATACTTCACAAATTTGAAATGATAAAATATTAGATTCCCTGATATCCTGTTATGCTTTTAATATAATCATTAAGTTTTAAAATTTATATTAGCACTACAAACACTAGTTGTTTTCCTTCAGCTAAAATAATGTGGTTCATTTTGGCAAGTCTGTTATGATTTTTTCAGAATACATCTTCATAATGTTTCTGTATTAATGTTTACATACATGTTTGTCTTCATATTAAAATTTAGAGTTTTATCTCTATTTTTTATACCTTTTTTTTTTTTTTTTTTTGGTACCAGGGATTGAACTCAGGACATTACACTTGTAAGGCAGGCAGCAGAACCACCGAGCTAAATCCCTGGCCCATAAAGTTTGTTTTGTTTTGTTTTTTGGTATTGGGGATCTAACTTCGGCCCTTGCACTTGCGAGGAAAGCAGCAGAACCACTAAACCAAATCTCAGGCCATTATCTCTATTTTTTAACACTACATCAACTCAGAAAACATGATATAGCCAAGTGATTCAATAAAATACAGAAGTCATGTTGAGTCAGGTGTGGTAGTGCATACCTATTAGCTCAGTTACCTGGGAGACTAAAGCAGGAGGAGCACAAGTTTGAGGCCAGGTTGGGCAAAGTAGTTAGATCATGTCTCAAAAAATGAAATAAAAAGATCTGGGAATGTAGTCAGGTAACAGAGGGCCTACCTGCATGCATAAGCCCCTGGGTTCAATCCCCACTGCAAAAAAAGTCATGTTGGAATAATATAGATATGATTCTTAACAATTATAATTATCATTATCGAATAGGACTCAACTGCAAGTGGAAAGACAAGTGATCTACCAGCACAAAGGCAAATACTAAAACAACTTATTGGATTACTGAATCATTTGTTCTTAAGGCCAGAATGTTCTATTGCTTTTATGAAGTTTCTGCAATAATAGCAGAAAACTATATCACTTTCAATTATTGCTATGCACTGTGTAATGACATCTTGGTCAATAATGGACTGTAGATATGACAGTGGTCCCACAAGATTATATAACCTAGGGCCAGGGATTTAGCTCAGTGGTGTCGCTGCCTGCCTCACAAGCACAAGGTCCCAAGTTTGATCCTCAGAAAAAGAAAGAAAAAATAAAAAAGATTATATAACCTAGTGATGTCTTAATCATCTTAGTTTATGTAGATCCACTCCATGATGCACCCATAACAACAAAATTGGTTATTTCTCAGAATGCTTCCCCATGCATGACAAATGGCCTCTTTGGTAAACCTATCAACATCATCCCCAAAAGCAAAGTAATATTTCTTACCAAAAAACTGATGATTTTTTCATTACCAAAAGGAAAAGATCCCAATTTTGAGGCATCATTCAAAGCTGCATGCCTTAGACATAAAAAGCAGGTACAGAACATGCAGAAATGAAAAGTTAACAAATATTTTGAGGCATAAGCAAGCACCTTCCATATATCAGGTTCATACATAAGGGCCAAGGTACAGGATGGGAATGGGGCCCAGAATTCAATATTAATGGAAAATAGAGAAGAAAAGGAATAGTTCCATAGGATGAGATAATGCATTTAATACTGATATGTGCCTCTGTGTCTTCAGAAGAGTTAATGATCAAAATAATATAATCTTAGTATAGTCAGTTCTTCATACCTGCAAACTCTACATCCTGGGATTAAACCTTGGATTGAAAATACTTTTTAAGAAATTGTGCCAATAACCAGCAATGTCAATGTCCTCAACTCATCAATCAAGAGAAATAGACTGGCAAAATGGAATAAGAAGCAAAATGCAACAATATGTTGTATACAAGAAACACACCTAGTGCAAAAAGAAGCCCATAGCCTGAAAGTGAAAAGATAGAAAACAATTCTCCATG